TTTTTCCCTCTGTTTCTGTTTTCTAACTGTTTTGGGCATATTAAGACAAATGAATAACCTCATCCCTCCATCAACTAAATATGTATATTTTTTATGCAATTACTAATCTTCTCTGGCAGTTGTAGCTGCAGTATAGTTACACATTATACTGTTATGAACGTTACATAACCTGTTATTTTACCAACATGTCACGTCATGACAGGCAGAACAAGTTGAGCACCTCACTGATGCCTGAGCTGTAACCACAGTGTGTGATAGTCACACAGTGGAAGCCCATCTGTGAAGACTCACTGCACACTGCTGCAGTCTGCAGATGTCTCTCGGTGTTTGTGTTAAAATGGCGGGGGCTGGGCACTATTAAACCTGTACACCACATTACACACACACACACACACACAGACCTGACATACTAACGCAAGGTCATTTTGAAAAATGAAAATAAATAGATACACTTAAAAAAAGATAATTTATGACGAGCTGCAGTTAATTAGTTAGTTAATTATCTAACGTTAAACTTACTATGGTGCTTTCTGATGCTCCTGATTACATAACATCGAATCACAACAAGACATTAAAAGTTACTGTTAGTTAATTAACCGGTTTATAGTAACGTTATATGGCAAGATATTGGGATAAATGATGCCTATGATACGGGTTTCAAATTAATTTTAAAATATTTTTGTCATTTTGACATAAAGTTATTGCAAGTAACAGTTACTGAACAACGGCCATAGCAATAACGTCCGTTACCTAGCTACAACAAGTGACCTCAGTGATGCTGAACAGACTTCATAATAGTGTCCAAATCTTTGTTTGAAAGGGCTGAAAGCCTGGTTAAACATTTGCATAAACCCCATTGTTCTCACCGTGAAGTGCCTCAGCTTGAAGACCTCCGCCAGCTCCTTCTTCTTCTTCTCCTTCTTCTCCTTCTTCTTCTGTGTGTTCAGACCGCCAACATCTGCACCTTCGCGCACTATTCTACGGGACCTCAACGTCACCAGAGCTGCGGCCACCCATTGGTCCAAATCCACCAATCACAGCAAGTGTTCAAACTGCGCGCCAGGAGCAGCAGCCAGGAGCAGGCCCAAACAACAGACACAATAACAGACACAGAGCGGGCACAACCGCATGGCTGTGAGAGCAAGTGTAAACAAGTGTGAGTGTGTTTACCTAACGTTGTGTAGTTGTCATTGAAGTCGTCCACATTTGTTATTATACATATGCAACTCAGTATATGTTCCATTGAAGGGATGGTAATAGTATTAGTTTAAATGGTACAGCAAAGTGGCCTTCTTGTGTTTCACCAGGCCTGTAAGGTGACAGTTTAAGGGAAAAAACGTTTCTGCACATCTTTATTCAGGTTTTTCCTTTAATTTGTAACCTGTCTGTATTCCTGGATGTATTTACAGAGCTGCAAAGTTGTTGTTTATTGGTAACCCGCATCTCACAATACTGAGTTCACTTTTTCCCAACTGTTCACACAGTCAGCACAACAGAAGTCAATGTGGACAAAACTGTTGATCACATTGCTTTGACACAAAATGTATTCAGTGACCATCTTTCAAAATTCAAACCGCTTTCTCACTCAAACTCAACCACCAAGTGAAGGCTATTTACAGTCTCTTTTTTTATTTAAAGAAAGTTTATTTTTTCCTGCATTTCTGCTCTATGTGTGATTCCGACGGCTGGATAGAGACAGGAAAGGTAGGGAGATGATATGCAGCAAAGGGGTTTGAATCAAACCTGTGCTGACAGTGATAAGGACTCAGCCTTGATGCATAGTGCACATGCTCTACCAGGTGAGCTACTGGGGGCCCCTATTTATAGTCCACATGCTTCCTAAAGTTCCTGCAAAGATGAAGGTGGTAAAGCATGGAAATTACCATTAAGCATTATTATTACATAAAATAAGGGAATGGTACATGTGTTATAGGAGCTATACAATTTATTTTGTTTGCCCAAAGTCATCCACAGACAAAGACATGCACAATATTTTAAACATATGGTACAGTATTAGACTCTTAGTCATGAAATGTCAAGGTGATAAAAAAAAAGTTAATTATATTTTTTTAGCTGTTAAAGAGGGCGTTATGATATATGGTGTTTCTGTAAAGCACTCTGTATCACTGTGTTCCTCTTTGTCTCTCTCATTACTCACGCACACAACCGAAAACTGGTCAGTTCCTCTGCTCAGGGATGCAACACTGTGAAATCAAATATTGTAGTTCATTATGTAATAACTGGTTATGGTCCATTTGAATGTTTACCCCTGACACCTATTTTTCCAGTCCATGCAATCAGTAGCTGAAAATAAATTGAGACTTTCATCATTGACCAAAAGTATATTAAAGTTCATGAGTCATTAAACTGGCAATGGAATCATTTATGAAATATGTCTGCAGCCAGCTGTTACCAGACAACCTCTCTGTGTGCCAGCAAACTGTTCTCTCTTTGTTTCTTTAATATTCTTCCTTATATGAGGTGAAGTTAAGCTATGCTACAGTAGATTCATCGCTCAATTTAAGTCATTCCAGGCAAGAGGTATAAAGTGTTTTAGTGCCTTTATTTGCATTTCACCTTTCCATTATCCAACAGAAAAGTTTTCAAAAAGCTAAAACAAAATGTTTATTTTGTTGCAGCACTTGCGTAAGGTGAAAACTACAAGAATGTCCTTGGAGTGAGTGATGAAAGAATAGTGATGGATGAGAATGAAGTTGTAATCCACATCTAGCGTGTCTTTTTTTTTTCTACTCTGAGCTACTGTAGAAACCTGGTTGTTCAACATGAACAACCATGGAAGATAACGATTCTTATATTCAGGTGATTATACACTAATAAAAACATACCTATGCATAAATTCCATTTCTGCCAATAGATCCTCCTACACACTGGACCTTTAACTGTAATCAGAAATGTACACGTAGTTTAATATAAAACCCTAAATCCCAGAGTTTACCTAATATCAGGCTAATTATTAATTAATTAACACTACCAGAAGGTCCCTACTGTTAATTGTGATAAAATATAGTAAGAAAATACATTCAATATAGAGTGTTTGAATTACTGTTCTACATACCAACCTTAGTGCAGATACAATGTCAACAGTTTTCAAAGACCTGAATACACTTACCTTCCCCGGTACAGGGATTCATCTGTGTATAGATTTCAATTATATGAATATATATGTAGATATAAAGTATATCTACATATATATTTATTGACAGACATTCCTTCTGTATTAATCTCAGCCCTGCTAACACCCCATATGTCTTCATTCAACCTAGACAAATATATAGTTAAGAATGGCACAGTTGACATTATAAAGGATCTTACTTTAATTTTCTACCTTACCAGATGCTTCAGTTGAATCAACATACCCTCTATAGTAAGATAATTGAATTCATAAACAGCTCTCAAATGTTCTGACAGATTAGACTGACGGCTGCTGCTGCGGCTGCTGCTGCTGCTGCTGCGGTACATGGTGGCATGTTGGGACAGGCTACATTAAATCCCAGAGAGACTAAAATATTCCCTGTAACAACACCCTCAGGTTTGATAGGCTTGTAATTAAAAACATGTCATTCTCCTGTGCAGCAACATGCAGTGAATAGGTTATAGGTTTAAATATTATATACATTTGTGTAAGGCCTGTGCCCACCCCAATGACTGTCTTTTAATTTTGTTGTAAAAGTATTATTGGCTGTTGATTAACCTGTTGTTGACAATCATGTGAGACATAGTTTACAGGAGATCATTAAATTGAATGGCGGTAATGTAAAATTGTGGTTAAACGCTGCTACCTAGTGTTGAGTAGAGGAATCTACCTGACACAATTTTCAAATGCACATAAAACTTTTTGAATAATGCAAATATGATTTGTCATTCCAGTGAAGTGATATTGTAACGCTGCATATTTGTGACTTTTGTCTTTGCTAGACATCATGAGCAAAAGCTGCTTATTTCATATCATAAAGCAGAACAATTAAAACATTATTTAGTACAACAGCAACATGCACATAAAACTACTATATGTTTGTATTCCACATTTGTAGCAATTAAAATGTATTTAAAGGTTAATGTTATGTAAGAGGTATTATTATATATAGACAATATCATGGTGATATGGTGGTATTCTGAAAGAGTTTCTAGCAGCATGCTTTTTGTTTATGGTAATATTTTAGCAGAATGTCAATTACATTTGGCAGTTAGATTGACAGTTTAATTAGGATATCATTAGTTTTTACTTATTATCCATCTTATCACTTATGACCAATGTGGATTAGAAAATTATAGAATCAAGAAAGCTGTTTACTGTAATGTTGTGTATTGCAAAACACAGGTTTCTACATTGCCACTGATTTGAATAGCAAAATCTAATAATGCTGAACACATTCACGGTTTGTTGCAGTGGTCAATGAGTTTTATTCCTATGTGCCTTGTGGGTTTATTTTCAACTAACTAAAAACTAAAACTAAAATATATACAATATTTTTCCTTTGGTGTTCAGTGAATTGAGAAATGTCCAAGCCGACTACAATATTCTCTGTTCCAGGTTATATATTAAAGGGACTATTAATAACCCAATCACTGTCTGCTCCCTGCTGTGCAGGTGCACTACTGACAGCAGGGACTTTAAAGAGGCTTCTGTCCGCACCTGACAGACTCTCTCTTTCTATCCATGTAGTTTTAAACAACATACACTCATCTCCTGGGATGATGAGTGAGAGGACAGATGGTAGCTTTAAAAGTCCCCTGCAGATACAACTAGACTATTTTAGATTGGCGAAAACAAACAGAGTTTAACCCGTTAACCACACAGGGATGGGATATCATTACTAAAAATGCAGTATCATTGTATACACATAGATTGTTTCGGTTAAAACAGTTTCCTTTTTCATCCTACTCGCACTAACATCCTTTGTGGACGACAGATTACATTCCAGGTGTTTTATGTTGAAAAGCTTGTCATTTGAGATGCTCGTATAGACTTTTATTTTGAAAAGCAGCCGAGCAGCTTCCGACGGTTCGTGTCTCCTGATAGTATCGTACAGGAAACCCAAAGGCCACTGTAGTCTACCTTTAATGTCAACATGGGGGCTTGTCTGGCCTTGTGCTCTTTAGCCAGCTGTGTAAGTATCTAATCTCTCATACGAATATTATCGGACGGCTTTCGTTCACTGTCTTCCTAACGGCAGATTATATTAACCGAGGTGAGCTAACGTTAAAGAGTTCCGTCAGGCGCCAACGTTACGTGACACCTGTACAAACGTTCATACTAACGTAATTAACGCTAACTCACGCGATTTAACGTCAAACACTGAGCGTAAATATTAAAGTGAGCTATCGTTAGCAGTGAGTTACTAGACACAGTCAGCCAAAGCTAGCTAACGTTTCAAATGTAGATAAAGGAAGTTATTAAAGCAAGCTAGTCAGTCTCGGGATAGATTGAGGAAGTGTCCGAACAGGCTGTGTACAATAACGTTAGGACACATTTAACATAACGTTAGTTAAGTTAGTTAACGTTACTGCCGAGGTATTGACACAGCAGATGTGTTATGTGCTTTATGGCTGGGGTTAGTTCTCTTAATACAACAGTAGCGTTAGCTTAGACACAATCGGCAAGTCACTGCCAGTAATTTTAGGTTAACCTAAATAAGGGGGCAGTTATACCCTAAGTTAGATCTGCTTGACAAACTGGGTTAACCATAGTGTCGTATATTTTATTTTGATGTAGTATTTCACTCAGTTATGTGGGTGATGCCTGCCCACCACGATCCAGTAACTGTGTTCCTGGAAATTCACTGTGACGATAAATAATTCCTGTGTTTCTAATGGAGTAACTTAACTCTCAGTTATTCTCCCCCCAACTCCTCTCTCTCACCTATAGGCCTCCTGTCTGTGCGGTTCAGCACCATGCGTTTTGTGTTGCTGCTGTCCCTCCTCCAATAACTCCACGGTCACACGGCTGGTGTTCTCCTTCTTCTTGCTGCTGGGCACCATGGTGTCTGTCATCATGATCCTTCCTGGGATGGAGGCACAGCTCCGTAAAGTAAGGTCATCCTAACGCTATTATATACAGTGTTGTATTCTTGAACATTAGTGTGTCATGTGTTTACTGTGAATGCTTATTTTCTTGTACTACCTGTAGGATTTTCACTTGTATCTTATTGGAAGTGGTTGTATCCAAAACTATAGCTTCCCTGAGAAATAAACTTCCTTGATTCCTTGATATTCTCTCCAGTAAATACTTTGAAGATAACCGTAGTGACAAATGTTCTGCTGTTTTGTAGATCCCGGGGTTTTGCCAGGGAGGAACTGCTATACCTGGTATCGAAAACCACGTTAATTGTGACGTCATTGTGGGCTACAAGTCTGTGTACCGCATGTGCTTCGCCATGACTTGCTTCTTCTTTCTGTTCGCCGCCATCATGATTGGTGTGCGTAGCAGCAAAGACCCGCGTGCGGGTGTTCAAAACGGGTGAGTGCTTTATTGTTATTATTTGAAATACTTTTGTTATGGGATGGAGGCAGATTTGCATTTCTTCCTTCCGTCTCCTGCTGTACTGATGGTTTGTAACTGTTTATTTTCCAGGTTCTGGTTCTTTAAGTTTCTGATCCTCATTGGGATTACAGTGGGAGCTTTTTTCATCCCTGATGGAACATTTCATACTGGTACTAACACACTGTTGAATTACAATAAGCAGTTATATACTATATCCTTTTCTTGAGCAGACACTGACTTTGTGTTTTATCAGTGACTCAGCCAGAGGAGAAATATCTAGATATCTATTCCTGATCAGAAGTTTTAGGAAACTGAATCAACTGTGTCTGTTTCCTTTTAACTTCACAGTGTGGTTTTACTTCGGAGTGGTGGGATCCTTCATCTTCATTCTGATCCAGCTTATTCTTCTCATTGACTTTGCCCACTCCTGGAACAAGGTGTGGGTAGAAAATGCTGAAAATAGTGACAACAAATGCTGGTTTGCAGGTACAACACTTGCTTTAAAGGAGCATTTATTTGAACAGATATGCTCTATTCTGCCGTCCAATTCAGTAGTGCAGTGTTATACATGTGGTTTTAAGCCATTCATGTTGATGTATCTTTATGTAACTTCCAGGCCTGCTGTCTTTCACCTTCCTCCACTATGCCCTGGCTTTCACTGCTGTGGTGCTTTTCTACGTTTACTACACACAGCCTGACGATTGCACAGAGCACAAGGTCTTCATCAGCCTGAACCTCATCTTCTGTGTCATCATCTCCATTGTCTCCATCCTACCCAAGATACAGGTACAGTGTGGACACTTTTTTTCCCATACTTCCTTCGATACCAAGCCAACATTTTCTACGTAAAAAAATGTACCCCCAGAACAGTTAAAAAGGCTTTCTAGAGTGATTAAATGGGAATATAAGTCTTGTTTTGTGGTGCGGACAAGGAAAGCAAAGGTTTTCCTAAATATTGGATACTATGTAGCACAAACACAAATGTGGATGAGACCCTGTTTAAAAAGAAATGCATATTCACTTTACACAGTTTACGTTTGTCCTTAGAGAAAAAGGTGTTAACAGCTTGAGTTGTTTTTTCCAGTCTCAGTTGAGTTTTTGATAGTAATATTTAGTACACCACATAGAGTTACTTTACCTTTTGTTTTAAGGCTGCTTAACATTAGTTTACTTTTCTGCCAGTTCAGTAAGTGTACGCCTGTGCTGTTTGTTACAGGAAGCCCAGCCGCACTCCGGTTTGCTCCAGGCTTCACTCATCTCGCTCTACACCATGTATGTCACTTGGTCTGCAATGACCAACAATCCAAGTGAGTCTCCTGTTGTCTTAATCCACAGTTGCAGCTCTCCTCTGTAGCGTTTGGTTGCATGCTCAGTTGTCAATACATCATACTCACTGTTTTCTTTCAATATATGTATTTGCTGATTATCTGCTGCAGCATTTTGACCATACTGGTAAGTTTTCCGTGGCATATAGGAACAAAGAGCTGTTTTTTGCTGATAGCTGATAGCACGCCTTTCTTGTCTCATGTCATGTGATCTTTCTTTAAGTGAATGGAAGCACAGAGCTTGTGGTAACTGTAGGGTTAGTTTGATCTACTTAGTTTGAGCACCTGAGATGAACTACTGTACTGATGAACTGTATCTCTACCACCACATATATTTGGGTTTCACCTCTTTTTGAATAATGCAAATATTGCTTGTCATTCTGGTAAACTATCTCGTTCACGTTACACTGATGTCGTAACACTGCACAGACTTTTGTCTTGGCTAGACATCATAGGCAACAGCTGCTTATTTCATATCAGAAAGCAGAACAATTAAAATATTATTTAGTCAAACAGGAACATACAGTAGCACATAAAACTTTTATTCTTTTAGTGTTTCACCGTGACATTTAAGAAGTCACTAGTGTGAGCGGAGCCCTGTTTAGAGGAAAACAGTTTTCAAATGTATTTCTGTGTAGGGGAGAGTAATATATTTATGAACTGGAAAACACATCTAATGTTGAGTGTGTGCTCTGATGTCATAGATCGAAAGTGCAACCCCAGCCTGTTGAGTCTAGTGTCCAACGTCACCACCACTCCACCATCTGGTGACGGCACACCAGGAACGGTGCAGTGGTGGGATGCTCAGGGCATTGTGGGTTTGATTATCTTCCTCTTCTGCACTCTCTATGCCAGGTAGGTTTAACAGCACCACAACTGTCACATTTGATATGTTCTTCTTTTTTGTTGTTTGTTATAATATTTTTCATATTCACATTTCTCTCTGTCCCTCCTCTAGTATCCGTTCGTCCAGTAACACCCAGGTGAACAAGCTGATGCAGACAGAGGAGGGCGGAGGGTCAGGTGGAGAGGGTGTGGTGGGAGAGGATGGCATACGCAGGGCCGTGGACAATGAGGAGGAGGGAGTCACCTACAGCTACTCCTTTTTCCACTTCCACCTCTGTCTGGCCTCTCTGTACATCATGATGACTCTCACCAACTGGTACCAGTAAGTATCTCTCGCCAACAGATTGTTAGACATTTAAAAGACAAAAACATGGAATAATTCACACCTTTGTTTGTAGCTTCTGAGATGGCCAAATGTTTTGAAATGAGTAGCTTTCAGTAGTTGTTGAACAGGCATTGTAGGCCTTCGGGGTGGCCACCAGAGGGCACATTACTTCACCTGAAAGTTATTCATTCTTTGAACGCTGCTTGAATGTCATTTTCTGAAACCACCTCAATTTGGAATAAAAAGCTCATACAACACTGTACTTTTTATAATTATTCATGGGCCATATATGAAAATATCTTATATACATTTCAGTACGTGTTATATTGAGGTGGTTTTTACTAAATTTTACCTCTCCTCTGTGCCCCCCCCCCCCAAGACCAAACACCACCACCCAGGCCATGCAGAGCAGTATGCCAGCTGTGTGGGTGAAGATGAGCTCTAGCTGGCTGGGCCTCGCGCTCTACCTCTGGACCCTCATCGCCCCTTTCATCTTCCCCGACAGGGATTTCAACTGAACGAGCCTCGTCTCTTAGCTGTATTTTTGTTGTTTTGTTTTCTTGCCTAGCGTCTTAGGCAGTGTAAAAGGATGAACAGGAAGGATATTACAAAGGAAATACATTTAATCTATTTGTATTCCTTTTTCAATTAATTGCTTCTGCTTAAATTGTGTTTCTGTTGTTTTACTTTTCTCAGTAGAATTATTTAGAGTGATAATCTACAGATACATGAACGTGTAAGTGGGTTTTTTTGTTTGTCTGATTGATGATGTTTTAGCTGGTCATTTTGCCAATGAATCACCTTAATAGGAAACTCCCTACCTTTCACCTGATGTGCTCGTAATACGACTGTGTGAGCTCCATTATCTTTTTGCTGAATTTTAATTATTGCACTAGAATCACAAAGACTCTGCAACACAGCACTTTCCTAATACCTCAGACATTTCCGTTTCAGATTCCATTTTAAAGGCCTGTGACATCAGACTTCTCTGATTGGCCGGGTCTGGAATCCCCCTGATTAGCTGGACCGTGTTAGCGCTGAGGGGGGGCAGGCAATGAGGAGATTTCTCCCTAGGAGCCCCAGAGTGAGGTGAATGTGAGAGTTAGATAAGACTAATACGACACACCCTACAGATCATAACAGGGCTTCCCTTTTGCTGCTAGGCTGTATGCAAATCCACATCATTATACCTTGAGCCAGAGAGTCCTAATAGACCACCAGTCTAATCTCAGCTCATCCTCACCTACTCCATCCTATGGTAATTCATCTCCGGTGCTATACCTCTCCATGTCTGACTGTGTTTGGCCTTGTACAGCCACGGGCGACAATCTGTACCTATATAGCAGTCTGATTGCAGCAGGGAGACATGTATTGATCTATAGCAGTCAGCATCATGCAATGTGCAGCGTTGCGGCTCAGGGGGGTGATGGCGTGAACGCCACTCTACCTGTGCTCTCACAAATGCCCTTATTTCCAGAATGTTGCAGAGTAGTTATTAAGTCAAGAAGAAAGGGATTTTTAATTGTTGCTGTGTACAAAACAATAACACATTTCAGTCCTGATAAATTGCTGTTCAACGGTATTGACTTTAATAGTATGTTGATGGTTGTAATGATGGTACAGTAATTTTATGCATTATATAGTAGTTACCTCAATTTCCATATGAATGGATGAGTTACAGTAAGGCCGATGATTTTGTACCTGTGAAGAAATGTTTTGGTACTATCCTGAGATGTTATCCTTTGTCTATGTTATGTTCTTCTCAAACATTTCACTGCCCGCACATATGAATCAGATGTCCTGTTTATTTGGCTGCATATGAGTATTGTGAAAGGAGTTTTTCAAAGTGTTGTGATAAGTTGACTTTTTAAAAAAAAAAAAAATGTTGTTTCTTAAACGTGTCAAAGGTATTGTACATATTACCGTTAACAACCTTCTAAGGACATTGTTTATGCAGAATTGCCATGTAAGTTAACATGTAATATTTCACAACACTATTAAGTGCCTTTTTGTAGTCTTGCGTTTAAAAACAAATTAAACACTAATGCTGGCGTTTGCTTGTATTGCCTTGCCTTACATTGCTCATTGCATGCCATAAGGCATAGGTCTATGACAGGAATTAATATTGTATTTAATGTATAAACACCGTTTTTAATAAAGATTGAAATCTGTCACTCACTCTTTGTCTCGATGGAGCCTCAATGGAAGCTTTATAGTTGTGTCTCATGAAAAATACAAATGCAGTAAATGAGTAAAATTATATGTAAAATATGAAGAAACTACAAAATATCTAATAAAAGCATGATAGGAGCTGTTTTTGGTTACATTTGATTATGTTTTACCTTATTCTCCTGACCTACTGTTAAGGTATAAGTAATGTGACATTTAGGGGGGTTTAGGGACCCCATGGATGTTATTGAATGTACATAACATCTCCCTATCTCTAATGGTTCATCAGGGTGCAGGTTGTGTGATAATACTTATATTTTTCGTTTCCATATATCATCCCATAGGTTGAGGTCATGGGGTGCAGAGTTGGGGTACTAAGGAGGGGCTAACAGACACATCACAGCATGTTCTGTACTCTGAGTGAAGCATCATGTAAAGATGAAACTCTAAAACAAGCAAACACTTCATATCTGATACCCTGCTGTGTTCCCATTGGCTGTCTAAACTCTTAACGCCGTTTCTCTGCAGCAGTTCTGTGACTGGGGACACATTCATAATAATAATTTGATAACTCGGCCCTTTTGCCTAACTGTAAATTGAAGCAGTAAACGTGTCTGACCCGTCCCTTCATGCTGATACGGACACAGAGCAGTGTATGCCAGTGCTCGCAGCCTCTGCTGTGTTATTTCCTTCTCGCCTGGCTGGCAGACGGGGCCTGTTGGTTTTGGCTGCTACAGTCACTCAATCCAGTTGGCACTGTCTGGAACTGTTCATGACACACTACCTCCTGTCGACTTCCCTCCCACAACACCACCCCTCGCTCAGCCTATCCATGACAATCCTGACTTGATGGATGGTGTCACAGTTTAGTTTTCTTTACATGTAGTGGAGGAAAAAGGGGAAGACTTCCCCCAGCACTGTAGGGTAAATGTAAAAATCAAACAATGTGAAAGTATTTAAAAACAGTAAGCAGCATTAAGAGAGCAGATTGCAGGGGCAGAAATTCAGAATGTATCAGAAGTGAGGGGATATAAAGTACAAATAGATATTCATGTGCAGGATGTCACAGTGCCAGTATGTTTAAGCAATTCCATATTCAGTATATCTGAGGGTATTGATATAAACACAACAAAACTGAAACGTGAAGCACACCAGCATCTAACAACTGCTACAGCAAGGACAACAGATCCAGTTTACTTCAGTAAAAGTACTAATACCACTCAATACCACAAATACCCCACTACAAAGTAAACGTCCTGAATTCCAAAACTTCCTCAAGTAAAAGTATGTAAGTATTATTTGGAAAATGTGCTTAAAGTATGAAAAGTGAAAGTACTCACAGTAAAATGGCCCTGACCCTTTCAGTGTTTCTCTATTATATTGCTGCTGCATTAATGTGTATTGTGCATTTTACTGCTGTATATGTTTAAGGTTGAGCTAATAGTAACCACTTGTTATACTGATGAGTTGTTGATCGACAGCGATCATATTGTATAAGATCAATATATGTCTGTAGCGTGGCCGTCCTCTAGGAACTACGTCTCTAAAAAGTCAACTTTTCGTGAGCTCAGTCCACCATCCCAGAGGGTTTTTAAATAGTAAATCGTATTTAACTTCAGAAGTAGGAGAATTTTATCAACTCATAAAGAAACACTCATTTCAGTTTAGCACAAACATTCAAAATGTGCTGATACATGGACACATTCACTGGATAGGAAGGGTATGAGTGGAGTAGAAGTAGAAAAGTTAAGAGTACAAATACCTCAAGAATCAGTGCTTAAGTACAGTAATTGAGTAAATGTCCAGCACTGTCCTCAACAAGCTTTCATTTAAATAGAAATGGACAAATGGAAAATGTACAGAATGTAGAGCAAAGAACACAACAAAAAGGTGTTTTCTGCCTTTCACAAACACTGCACTGACAGCTGCAAGCCTACTCTTTTGCATAAACTCTCAATGTTCCTGCACAGGACTTGTCGGGAAGCTGGAACACTGCGCCTTGCGTGCTTGTTCTGCAGAGTGGAAGTGCTGTCTTGTCTCTTTGTGTAGCAGTACACTGCACACTGGACCTGACACATGGCTTCACTTCATCAGTCCGACGCGCAGAGGAAGGTCATCGTCAAATGTTGTAATAAACTCACCACCAGTCCGAAGCATTTGATGTCCGCTCAGGCAGCGTCTCCTCCAAATCTCTGGTGTTTTAATCTTAATTGTTTCACTTTTATTGCTCCAGCCAGTTTTAACATAATCTCACTCTTTACTCTTTAAAGAAGCGCACTCGTAAACTTACCTCTAATGGTCTCTTTCAGTAGTTGAAGCGGTTATAGTATGAAAGCATCAGACTGAGTTTCATGAGACTAAAGAACTCTTTGCGCTATACTCTTCCATTAGTCCCATCTGAAATTTAACAGCCTCTGAACACAGCCAACACCATCTGAGAACAAATTAGCAAAGTGTCATAAATTGCACTTTTATTTCCCCTGTTATCATCAGGTGAGCAAATGTGAACTCGTTTTTTCTCCTAGGATAGATTTAAGACACTCTCTGTCTTTGGCCATTGGCTCCAGTGTCATAAATCCCACCTTCATTTCCTCTGTTATCATTAGATGCAATTTGTCGCTGTAATAAGAGATCAGAGGCTGTAATGTGCTGATTATGAACCACTTAGTGTAGCTCTGCAGCCATGCTTGGTTAGGCATCCTGGGATTTTTAATTGCAGATTGACTGAAACAATGGTTATCACTTGCAGTGTTATCCCTGACCTTAATCTTCACTTCCCTTTTCCCACATTAGTTTGGAAATGTCAGCGTTTAGCTGTGTTTTGCATTCACTTGTCAAGAATAAGGTCATTCTCTACAGTGAAACGCGCAGATCAACACCCATTATTCCAGCTTTGTTCCAGTGTTTTGTTATTACAATAAATGAACCGTGCAGAGTACAACTGTTCCTCGTGCTGATTTGGATGAGCGTTGTTTTGTGAGAGGATTGTGCATCCCTGACCACCTCTTTGACAGAATGACTGGAAATGCCTGTCTGAGGTGTAATTGGGTTTTAAGAGTGGGATCCAGGCCCATTAAATTATGTGCTGCATGCAGAGGAGCTAATTGAGTTTAAGCCCTGCTGGCATACTGCATGTGCACTGGAAACATTTACCCAACATTAAGCCCCAATTAAGCTTTTCAAGATGGGAAACTTGTTGCTGAATGATGGGAAGGGAAGATGCTGATCCCTGTCATTGCATAGTTTCTCTTCAGTGAGTAAAATGGTGCCACTAATAGATCTGGTTCTAATAAATTGCTGAACTTCCAATGGACTTTCAGGGTTTGTTTGTTTTTTTCTAATTTAGTTCGATCGCTTCCATTCCCTCCCTCTGGCCGCAGTGCAATGCAGTCACTCTCTCCTAAGCTGGAAGTCTAAAAGTCTGAAAGTCTGAGTGTGTTTATGTGTGTGTGTGTG